TGTGCAAAAATAGTTATTCGGGGTCGAAAGTCAAAATTTTAAGTTTTTTGGATTTTTTTCGAAAACGGTAAGTTTTATTAAAAAAGTAGTATTGACAAAAATTATAGATCTTAAAATTATCTACAAAAATGGTCCTTATACTTTTTTTTCTAAGAATTATCATTCCTGAGATATTGCGATTCTAAAAGTTGAAGGAGTCACGTTCTACATGATATGCACATATATGCCACGTATATAGTCAGGCACTTAATACAAGTAAAAATGCCTATTTGAGTATCTTATATGTATAAACTATACTATTCTGAGAATATACACTCAAAAAAAAACTCAGTCCCTTAGTCAGTCCCCTCTACCCGCATGGCCTTGAATAACATCTGGCTACTCTATTGTAAAAACTTTTGTAAAAAATACACGAAACAAGAAACAAGTACAACTATCTTGTCTTCCTCCAACATCGGCTTCTGCTAATCAACACTTGTATCGAGTATACTATCAAGTTCAGACATGGCTAGGCAATCAACTGGACCCAAAAGACTGGGGTTGGAAATTAACAGATAATACTTTGGAACCGATTTAAACTTTACTCCCACCTGCTCCAGAAAAACTCCTTAACACTATTTTTTGCAATTGCAAAAAGGTTGTAGTGCTAAATGTGGTTGTAGAAGAGTAGGATTACTGTGTTCTCCAGCGTGTACTAATTGCCAAAGCCAGTCTTGCTCACATGTCCAATTGAATACAACAGACGGAGATTCATGTGATTTCGATGAAGAGACAGCTGATTCGTCTTCATTTGAACAATTTATGAACATACAGCAAGAAGAAGAAGAAGAAATCGAAGAAGACATGACTGTTGAAGTCGACTTTGAAGAGTATGAATCAGATTAAAATATCAAAAGAAATCAGAACTACAGTTAATGTCAATAACCAATATCAATAATCATCATGCAGTTAAGAGTATTGTCCCTGAAAATTCCGTCATAACAGTTCGTGGAGTAGGCCTACCGGACAAACCACGATAAAAAAAACAGAAAACGCGCCAAAGTACACTACCTCACAGGTGGTGTGGAAATGTGTGCATATCATGTAGAACCTGACTCCTTCAACTATTGGAATCGCGATATCTCAGGAATGGTGATTCTTAGAAAAAAAAGTATAAGGACCATTTTTGTAGATAATTTTAAGATCTATAACTTTTGTCGGAGCTACTTTTTTCATAAAACTTACCATTTTCGGAAAAAATCCAAAAAAAATCAAATTTTGAATTTTGATCCTGAATAACTTTTTTAGCACGCATAGAATCGATGGGGACTTATGACACTTTATTTCTAATGGTGTACCCAAGGTCTACACCAAAATTTAGCTCTGTCGGAATTTTCGTTATTTGAAATGTCTATTTTGATCGGACTACTAGTAAGTACAACCGTATGAAACGACATTGTGACAAAAGTGTGAAAGTAGTTGTATTATATATAATTGTATATATTATGTTTGTCTCATAATTTTGAATTCTAAACTTAACGGATGCCAATCTTTCCAATATATCTACCTATGTTAAACAAAACAAATCGTATGTTAGTCAGCATGCTACACTAAAATATATATTTTTAAATAAGTCATATTTTTTTGCCTATCCTTCTTATAAGTGCAAATTAAACCATTAAAGTAACATGAAAAAAGAAAATGAAATACAAACATTTTTTTATTAAATGATCCCTGTTTGTATATATGAAAACTATAATTTGCTTAAATTTGCGAATCTCAAAAAGCTTATGATTCTTTAGAAGAATTATATCATCTCTTATGTTATTTATATTCTATTTCAAAAAAATTACTTTCCCTAAATATTTTTTATTAATGATTCTAATTCATGCAGCGTCTGCACGACCCCTTGTTTACGAATTCAGATCTAGTAACAGAAAGCTTTAAGTTGATTGCCTCTCATTTAAATTAGCTTGCTTGACTACATTTCACCTTCGTTATCACTCGTTTCCATGTTTACTTATAACCAGATTCAAGGCCCTTTTCATCTACAGTAAATATGTGACGAGACTAGTCTTTCAGTATTGTATAATGAAAGAGAATTATTTGATCAGTTAAATTTATTTTTTAAACGATTCAATTTTGGAATATATAGTATATGTGTTTAAAGAATGAACACTTTACAAGGTATAAAAATTAAAATTCAAACAATTAACAGTTGATATATTAGGAACAGATTAGTAGTACTAAAAATAACAATTATAATGGTAAATTGTTTAAAAATATGTATTCAAAAATTTGAAAGTTCTGTTTTGTTCTCCAAAATTCACTGATATTTTATTATACGATAATGGCAAAATATTTTACGTATTTACGTATTTAAAATCATAATGTAACAAATTTTGGTTAATTATCAAAAAACTCTATTTTGTACTAGAGATCTAAATTAGATTGCGGTTCTATAATATATTTTTACATTCTATTCTATTTATATATACAAGTGCATTCTCTATGTAAAAAATAACTAACAGAATTTTTGCAGAAATTCCGATTATCATGATCATTTTACTAGATCCTCAAAGTCTATTAGGCCACCTAAACATGCAACTAGTCTTTTTGAAAGAAGCCCAGTCTATATGGGGATTAAACTTTTGAATCGGCTGCCCGAGTGTGTGAGACTGGAGAATAATCCAAATGTTTTTAAACGAAAACTTAGACAATTTTTATCAAATGAATGTTTTTATAATGCTGCAGAATTTTTAAATGGGAAATTTTAAATTTTAT